TTGTCACGCCAGAAAGCCATTTCGATTCCCCACATGGGTACAATGTATGGAGCAGAATACTACTACTACTACTACTGCTGCTGCTGCTACTTGGCGGTGGGGTAGCCTAGTGGTTAAAGCGTTGACTTGTCACGCCAGAAAGCCATTTCGATTCCCCACATGGGTACAATGTGTGGAGCCAATACTACTACTACTACTACTACTACTGCTACTACTACTGCTGCTGCTACTTGGCGGTGGGGTAGCCTAGTGGTTAAAGCGTTGACTTGTCACGCCAGAAAGCCATTTCGATTCCCCACATGGGTACAATGTATGGAGCGAATACTACTACTACTACTACTACTACTACTGCTGCTGCTGCTGCTGCTGCTGCTACTTGGCGGTGGGGTAGCCTAGTGGTTAAAGCGTTGACTTGTCACGCCAGAGAGCCGTTTCTGATTACCCACATGGGTAGTGGTTAAAGCGTGACTTGTCACGCCAGAGAGCCGTTTCGATTCCCCACATGGGTACAATGTCTGGAGCCAATACTACTACTACTACTACTACTACTACTACTACTACTACTACTTGGCGGTGGGGTAGCCTAGTGGTTAAAGCGTTGTCTTGTCACGCCAGAGAGCCGTTTCGAGTCCCCACATGGGTACAATGTGTGGAGCCAATTGGCGGTGGGGTAGCCTAGTGGTTAAAGCGTTCGCTCGTCACGCCGAAGACTCGGGTTCGATTTCCCACATGGGTACGCTGTGTGAAGCCCATTTCTGGTGTCCCCTGTCGTGATATTGGTTGAATATTGCTAAAAGCGGCGTAAAACCATACTCACTCACTCATTCATGGAAGCATGAATCAGTGTCGAATTATCAGAAAGATGTAGACCACATGCGGAGGTCAAACCACCATACACACGTCTGAGGAATCCTTCCGCTGTCATGAAGCACAGTGGACCGGCCAAACTAGGTAATGGCTTAAGTCTATCACAGCTGCACGATCGTAACGATACCAGTGTTATCGATAAACCATGCCGTGAAAAGAAATCGCATGATCCCCATGATTATTATATCCTATTAACGTGAAATGTGATCCTGTAACTGTAATGGCGTTCAGTTACTGAAATAGAATAATAGGTTCAGATGTCACAATGTACTGGTAATCAACTTTAGCTGCATCCTACCCGTGAAGCTTGATGCATGAGTGAGTGAATGAGTTCAGTTTTATGCCGGTTTTAGCAATATTCCAGCAATATCACGGCAGGGATACCAGACATGGGCTTCACACATTGTACCCATGTGGGGAATCGAACCCGGGTTTCGGCGTGACGAGCGGACACTTTAACCACTAGGCAACCTCACCGCCATGGAGATTGATGCAGTGAAAGAAGCAAAAGGAAAGGAAGAACTCACGAATACCCTAAAACAGGGTAGAGTACAAATGGAGACTTTAAGAAAACAAGCGATGAAGTCAAAGCCAAAAGAACCATTCTTTCGTATTTTGGTGTTAATGATTGGGTTAAGCTAGAGTATTGACACATTCACATGGCCGATCATGTCAGATACGAAATCCAATCACTATTGCTCTCCCTTCAATTTCTTATATTTGCCAATTTGATTAACGTCTATTATTTGTTTATTGATCCTTTTGTGAAGCGAGCGAAAGCTCATGATGAAAACAGGGCATTCCACAATTTTCTTAAACGAGTCAAGGATGGAGGAGAAAAACGTAAACTCATTGTTGATTTTGTAGATGGTTCTGTAGTGCTAACTGATACAAAACGGTGTCATAGCAAAGTTCCATACCAAATTAAAATGGTTCGGCTTTTCAAAGGAAGGCTCTTTGAAAGACCACTGCAACGAAATTATTTGCAGTGTGCTGAATAAAACACAGCTCAATGGCAACGCTTTTGAGACGTGAGTCTGAGTGGATAAAGTTGGCTGGCCTGAAAAGTGAAACAAAAGGTTTTCTCTTTGCAAATTAGGACCAGTCATTTCAAACTTGGAATGTGCGATATTGCATCAAAATGTTATATGAAATGTAGATAATGCAATAAATTCAATGCGATTGCCCAACACCTTGTCAGCGGATGCCCAGTATATACAGTATCTTAACCGACTTGAAGGTGTAGTTTGGCTCATGCATTGTCCGTCTTCGCCATGCCTGTGGCTTTGACGCAGAGGTGCATCCATGTTATGACCAAGAATATGAAGAGGTCGTCATGGAAAAGGATAATGATAAAATCCTTTCCTCTATAGCCGGTATACAGTCACAGACATATCCAGGCCAACAGTACCTTGTCGTACTGTAATCAGATATAATCATCTGTATCATTGAATTGTCTGTTTCTTGTGACACTAATCTGATTGACAAGGTTCATGACAAAACCATGTGAACGAAATGTCATCACAAGCACCAGATTGTCCGACTTCCCACTGTTCTCGGTGCCTTAGGTTTTGTACCTCTCAATCTGTTAACTGGCATTTGGAGAGTATCAGGATTCTCTGTCAGGAACGCGACCATTCCGACTGACTTCATCCGGATCTCCTGAACCATTTTTGCCGCATTTATTATGGATGATATGTATAACACTAAATACTGACAAAAATCAGTAGTGGTGGTTGTAGTAGTAGTAGTAGCAGTAGTAGTAGTAGTGAGTGAGTGAGTGAGTTTAGTTTTACGCCGCTTTTAGCAATATTCCAGCAATATCACGGCGGGGGACACCAGAAATGGGCTTCACACATTGTACTCATGTGGGGAATCGAACCCGGGCCTTCGGCGTGACGAGAGAACGCTTTAACCACTAGGCTACCCCACCGCCCAGTAGCAGCAGCAGTAGTAGTAGTAGTAGTAGTAGTAGTAGTAGTAGTAGTAGTAGTAGTAGTATTGTCGTCGTCGTCATCATCATCATCATCATTTGTGTCTTAGTAGTAGTGGCGTAACTGTACCCTCAGGACAAACAGAGTTTAAACGTTCACTAAAACTTGATAGACAATGAAATGTTGTGTTAAGACTGTAGGCGAATTGAGATGTAGGCGAATAGAGAACAACCCGACGTTCACAATTTTGGTGGAAAAGACACATAAAAATATCATGAGGTGGACCTGTGCGTGAGTCGAAACCAACAATCGGATCCGACAAAGCATCAGCAATAAACTAATCTTTCACAATGCAAGCTGTGCTCCATCGTCTTTACGTAAGTGGTAGCACTCACAAACTCAGCTGCGTGTGTACCTTCACTACCGGATGCCTTTGAATATTTACTTTCCGCCATGAACATGTAGCGCTCATACCTCTCCTGACGAGCATGTTTCGTAACAAGTTAAATTAACCGGTCTAGTTAGTTCAATTAGCCGTGTTAACCATAAACCCACTTTGCAACGCGTAGAGCCCCCGAGACAAGTCGTTAAGGCAAGAAGTACCCCTACCGTATAAACCATTACTATTTCAATTACCGTGATATCCAATGGTGTCTTAATATTATGACCCTCGCTTTTACCTAACCCATGGGCTACGGACTCATCACTCGCTCCCATACCCAAATCGACCAATGTAAGATTCAATACACCAACAACAACTTCATGAAATTAAACGGGACTCCACATTGATCGTAACATTGATAAGAGGCCGGTTTAAACTGGAGCCTGTTGAGTTGTTTCTCATAAATTTTAAATACGTTGAGCTTGACTTAATATTTGAAAGGATCGGATGTTCTCATTGAAAGGTTAATTCAGCTGATCATAATATTTTCCCGTGATCTAGTCGCCACCTTGCCATATCGGTTGTACAACAATCATTAAAATTATGCGAAAAAGCAATGACGTAATCGGCCTTCACGCTAATGAAGACACATTGTTATCATCAGCTGTGCGCATATGTTATTATGTAATATTTGTTGATGACGTCAGAAAGGTGGGTGGAAAACGGTCATCTTTCTCAATGTCATCCTAGCATCAAGTCCAGTCAATCAATGGGAGCTTCGAAATCAATAGCGACAGTTTGCGATAACACACAGACCAGATGGTACTCACACTACCTGCGCTGTAAACAATGGCCAGTTTGTTATAAAGATACCTACCGGTGCCTGTCAACAGCAATAGAACATGTGTTTTGGCTGGTGACATCTGCTGGCCTATTGATTGAATTCAGAAGCCTATGAGCATGCACGCGCTCAGTAACAATGACAATTGCAGGCTGTTGTTTTCTCAAGATTAACATCTGTTGTGACGAACAGCAAGAGTGCTGTTTTAATTTTGTTAGTATCGGATATGAAAATCAAGCCTTAATTATCAGATTGTGGATATGTAACCGCGAGGGCTGTACAGAGTGGATCAAAGACACATCAGAAGCGCCTTACGGTGAGGCCTCGTCTTAATCCATACGGCTCACCAGCGTTATCCCCGCTGTCTGTTATTGTGATAGCGGGCTGTGGACTTCATGCTAGCCACTGACATCCCACACCTGATTGCCACACGGCGAATACCAGCACATCAGCATCCACAGACACAACTTGAGATTTGAACTTAGCAAAAAGACAATGGTAAATGTCTAGCGACCAACAGCGCCACAACGTCAATCTATAATGGGAATCAAAACAAATTACGTGGGTTGTGGGTGGTTGTATATAGTCGACACCTGGGGGCCAGCATAGCCTATTGAAGTGGAAGAGGTTATTTATAACGCTTCATCGCCGGCTGAACCTGCTCTCAATCTATCATTCCGGGGTTTATTTAAAACAGCAATCTCACGGCAATATCTCACAGCGGATCAAAACATTTAGTATGCGAAGGATAGCATCTGTCTATTGTCAGACAGATACACACAATACAATGTTTCAAAATAATGCCGTGGCGGAATTTTACTCCAGCACGATAATGACAGGCAGCAGTGGACGATGTCTAACGATGGATTAAGCATGACTTTGCGCTCATGAGGTGAGGTCTGCTTTGCCTCCGACTTGGGCACTGTGATAGCATATTGCAAGCATCAACACCGACACACATGGCGCAGACACTTACCTTATGAACATCTCTACCCCTGTGGCTTCCATACATCGTTTGATACCTTTCCACGATTTCTTTAACTTGAAGACTTGGAGGGCGCTTAACGGTAGCCTAGGATCCGTAGGTGCTGGCGGAGCCGGATCGCAGAAGCCGTCCGCCATGTCTGGAGCCGACGCAACCTCTCTTTGGATCTGAGGGCTACTGCGCGACTGGAGGCAGCCCATCACAGCGGTATTGATCCAGTAGCACACACACATACACAAAGCACGCCTCACACCCGCTCAATGTCGCACTATGCTACACACCTTTCCGCCGACATCGTGACAGACAAATGTTGCTTTAACAAGGCTACAAATTGTCACATGGCGTTTTCTTTCTAATGTTCATTTAAATCCGTTAAGGATGCGTTCCTTGATAGGTAAATCCATTCAGTCATACCTGAAAGAGATGGAAACCATGTTTTATTTCCGAATCTTCACATTCATTGACCATTTGTTTATATATTTATAATCGTAACTTCGAAACATGGCATTTGAATTGAGGTATCTCTTCTACCAGCTGTCAACACTTACGATGTTGACGTAGGAACATTATGTTTGCATAATTATGTTTGTTTTCAGTGTTAGTGTTAGCTTAGGTTGGATTCTCGAAATGTATGCTGTTACAAAGGCTAATGTCTGAAATCCCTGAAACTGAACAAGAACAATACACTCTTTAGAAGAACGGAATACCTGTGAAGTTTTGTTTTCATTTTGTTAAGGTCAAGGTATTTGGCGCGTGGGTCTGTTTGTGATTGAACAATAGATGCCGGTATATTGTAAACAATTGTGGGTTTGGACTAAATGAGGGACAATTTGTAACCGTTATAGCAAAATGATGAGATATTTTCTTTCATTTTGAGGATGAAGAGAGCACTTTAATTGCTTGATAAAATCCTTAATTCCTTAATTTGGGCTATTGTATCGATTTTAGTCTTGATACATCCATTGTGACATACCCGAAAACTCTCCGGAAGCACAAATCTTAATGTTCTTTGTATGATCGCCATGTGAATACTAAGTAACGGATGTTTTTAACGTATTATGCCAGTTGAGTAATGTCTATCAACACAATACATGAAATCACAACGTTGATGCATATGAAACTATTATTGTGTCATCACTGATTTTCAGTGATCCACTCATAGCATATTCACGACTATTTGTCCCTTTACACCAAACAGGATTTGTTTCTGAGGATAGTCAAGACTGGGTATTTTCTGGCACTTGCTCCTATGGCATACTAAAGACATTAAAGACATAATGGATAGAATTATTTCATTTTCTGAATGAACATGAGAACACTTTGAATGCTGACACCTTGGAAAACGAGAATGAGCACTTGTTGAATGAAAAATGCTGAATGAGGACATAACATATTGAATGATGACCACTTGCTGAATGCGAATATCAGCTTACTGAATGATAACCACTTGCTGAATGAGAATATCAACATACTGAATGGTAACCACTTGCTGAATGCGAATATCAACATACTGAATGATAACCACTTGCTGAATCAGAGTATCAATATACTAAATGATTACCACATGCTGAATCTGAGTATCAACATACTGAATGATGAACACCTGCTGAATGAGGATGTGAACACGTTGAATGATTTCTACTTGATGAATGAGAATAGGAACATACCGAATGATGACCACTTGCCAAATGACAATTTGAACAAGTTCAGTGAGGACCACTTGCTGAGTGAGTGAGTAAGTGAGTATAGTTTTGCGAGAATGAGAACATCAACATTTTGAATGATGACCACTTGCTGAATGAGAATATCAACATGCTGAATGACAACTACTTGCTGAATGCGAACATCAACATTTTGAATGATGCCCACTTGCTGAACGAGAATATCAACATTTTGAATGGTGACTACTGCCAAATGAGAATAAGAACATTTTGAATGACGACCACTTGTTGAATGAGTATTTTAACACGACGAATAATGACCAGTGGTCTAAATGTATTACAGATATTCTAGATAATGACCACTTGTAGAATAATCAAATGAAAACCTTGCATGATGACCGCTAGCTGAATGGGTTACAGTCATTCTGAATGACGACCTCTTCCAGAATGAGAATCAGAAAATGTTGAATGACTATGTACAGTCGAATGAAAATTAAAACATGTTGAACGAGAGAATGCTGAATAAAAATTATAACTTGATAGACGACCGCTTCTGAGAATTAGCTATATAATAACTACTTGTTGACTAAAAAAAACACACGAGCAAATTGACTGACGACTATAGAATGAGAAAAAGAACATATTGAATGATGGCTACTTTCTGAATGAGAGTAAGCATATGCTGACTGAGCACTCCTCCCGGCTCTTCAGTCATTACAAACGAGACGACTGCCATCGCCTAACTGGCACGACTACGGTTGATCCAAATTTTCGATTTTCAAGAAAGAAATGAACTGTTTCTTCAGTGAGAAAATCAATGCAAAGTGCCCCCCGGCCGTGATGAGACTTGAGCTGCCTGAGTTCCGTACACCTCTCCCATCGCCAGCCATCACAGCCAGGGCATCGTGGACAGGGGTCATGTCTCTCTTAGATAAAGTCGAATTGAATATCATTATCGTAGCGTTACGTATCTGATTTGGATTATGCCGAATGCATCTCTCGCCATGGGTTCTCAGTAGCTAGGAACACATTTAAATTACATTGATGTTTGATGATGGTGCAGCTGATGTCGATTCTCTACCATTTGTATTGTCATGTAGTTTATGCATGTGTATATGTTGCAGTAAATATATATGATCAGTAAATATGAATATTTACTGAATTTGTCAGTAATTATGTATATTTACTCATTTTGTCAGGGGTTATGTATATTTACTGAAATTTTCAGGAAAGATACACATTTACTGAAATCTACACTGATTCATCATACATATTTACTGAAATAAAGATGTGATATATAACAAATATTTGTTTGCTTGTACACTTTGTTTATGTCTGTTTGGTAAGTAAAGGGACTGGTCAGTTATGTACATTCAGCACATCGGTTTTTATTGTTACAGTCCTAGCTGTAATGGCACCTGGAGTTGAAACTTGAGCCTTAAATACATTTACACCTGCTTATTGCACCTATATATATTTCATCTTCCTCTACTAAAAGGTAATACACGAGTGAGTAAGTATTGTTTTAAGCCGCTTTTAGCAATATTCCAGCAATAAAACTGAGGGGCCACCAGAAATGGGCTTCACACATTTTATCTCTGTGAGTAATCAAACTCGGGTGTCTTTCTCTCTCATTCTTTCTCTTTTCTCTCTTACAGAATTTAATTGTGTGAGCTGCAAATGTACCAGCTTGAGTGTTCATGTAATTCATATACCAAAAGGTGCTGTCGAATTTGTCAAATAAGATGGTTAACTGTTGTTAGCATATATGTAAAGAAATGACAAATGACACGAATATCCCTTTCTTTTTTCTTTCTCTTATATCTTTATATTCATCCCTGAAGATAAAGTTGTAACGCGTAGGGGTGTGTGTGTGTGTGTGTGTGTGTGTGTGTGTGTGGTGTGTTCCAGTTGTGCCACTATTTTGTGGATTTCTTTACATATATACAACTGATCACTATATACATAGGCTACACTTTATCTTACCTTCATGTAAAATACGTTAATTTCATTGGTCAATGATGCTTTAACAAGTTTCCGTGTCACCCCTCCCAGGACGGTGGTCAACTGCAAAAATTATTAACCGCTGCCACGGTAACCGCCAAGCTCTCCACCGAGAAGGTGAAGCGCTAACAATCGTATGACGTCGTAACCGTTCGATCAGCTGTTTTCGTGTTGACTTTGTACAGATTTATTTTGCCGACTTTCACTGCTTTATTTTAGCTATATTTATGCATTGAGGGGTTTGCACACTTGACTTAAACATAATTAACCATTTTTATAGCAGTTTTAAGCTTGTCAGAATTTGTTTCACCGATTTTAAAAATCTAGTCGAGAGGCAGACGCCATTTTGTTTACATGTCTTATAGCCGGTCGCGATCTTTAACATAAAATAAAATGATGTTTTGTACATTTAACATGGAGCTAAGATAAATACATTGTATGCTTCTCTCTCGGGTAATAGGGTCCGCCCTTTTGGACACTGCTACAAACAGGCGTACATCAGACCGTATTACCCTCGAGAGAAGCATACAACGTATAATATATTAATGCGTTGGAGAACATGCGCAGGGAACATGAGTTCACTCAATTGTTGATTCATTTTATTAGTAAACTCTTCAATTAATACATTCTGTTTATTTATAAACTCCATGGCTGTTTCACTCTACGCACAGATAATTAACAGCACCAGAGTATTTATTCACTAATGCGTTGTTGTAAGGGGGATATTATAATAGTTTATTCCAAATATCAACTAATTGCTTCTTCATTAGATTCACGAACAGCTGATTTTATATACCCCTTAAACTGTAGTTCAGCAATATGCAATATTGTTTATTCAATAGTTCCGTGTTGCTTAACATGATTCGTGACATCATTTATTCATTTATTGATCAGCTAAAACTAAAACATATTGATGCACTTGGTTACTTGGTATGTAAATTATTTGAATGTTACCATGCGTGTCAACCTCAACGCTCCATCAGAGGCTGTTGTGGGACGTAGGCGGTGCAGTCACAGGGAATCACGCAATCTCTCCACAAACGTCATTTATAACCATCATCTATATACGTCCGATCGTTTGTTATCGTTTCTAAATAATATACAAAGACATTGTTATGTCAAGGATATATTTGTCACAATGCATGAACCGTCTCAGATTGAAGCATATAAATGGAAGCTGATTATGATGGAACTGTTTTGTTTGATCCAGACCAATACTTACATTCAGTCTTCTATATACATTATTCGTGAAGGGTCTTTAAATTCAGTAAAACCGAATGTAAAATTACCGCATTTATCCATATCAACATTACATTATCTTCAGGCCTTTATGAAATCGTGGCTGTGCTGTATAGCCTATATGCCGAAAAAGTCGTGTTTTTTTTCGAAGACGGCTGGGGTTCGATTGCCAATCGGGTACAATCTGTACGTTCATGTTTTTCACGCTTAATTCATTAGGCCACACAGAATGTCTACCCATAGTAACATATTTTCCCCAAAAGAAATACGAAAGGTCTCGTATATGATCGTTAGCGGTGGGAGGGGTACTACTCCTGGCGTGAAAAGAAATACACGCGTGTTTGCAGAAAACAGGAGTTGTATATTGATATAACATTGTGATACCTGTGCCACATTCCCTTGAGGTACCTTCTGGTCTGAGGTGCGTCTGTGGTCCTAAATTTATCCTGCTGCCCAAGCACATGTGTCAATCTGGCATGTGTGACT